GACTTAGAAAGGCCTATTAAGGCCCTTCTCACAGGTATCCTTAACATATTGCTAAGAATAAAACAAAGAAGAGTTCTATTATTGTAGGAAAAAAACCCTATTCACAAACTTTTTGGTAATATTCTATGGTTTTAAAGTACTCAACATACAGTATTCCATTGAACATTCACAAGTCCTGATATTTTCCCTCAAATCCTACAGAAGAGAATACTCAGTCTCAGGGAGATTAGTGACTTGTACAATGTCAAGGAGCTAAGAAGGAGCAGCTAGTATATACTGCATTTTGCCATGTATAATGTGCACTTTTTTGCCAAATTTGTGAGGGAAAATAAGGATGCACATTATACATGGGTAGTGCTAATTCCGTATCGCTGAAAGTTTGGGCCAAAAATGTGGGTGCACATTATACATGGGAGCATATTACACAGCAAAACGGTAAATTGGGTCTTCTAATTCTATATAAATGGCAGTTTTTTTAACTATCAACAAATGATCAAACCTAAAACATAAAACTCTACTATATAGTACAATAAATTTCAAAACTAAGTTAGCTTATCATTAATAGATATGTAAAATAAAGCCTACATTCCTTCCTTCATTTCTTACCAATGCCTTCTAACATTCTGTTTTCAACAGTTATCTACCACTAAATGCTCCTGAGATATTCTGAGCTCTCACAAGCCCCCAGCCCTTTGAAGATTCTGGAGTGCCATTTTCTGTGCTGAGTAGTAACATTTATCTAACACATTTGCAACTATCTGTTTATATGCCTGTTTACTCCACTGTATTATGAACTTCAATCTATCTTCAGTGCCAACCCCTAAGGCTGGCACACACAGTAGGCTCTAAAATAGTGGTTCTCAACCAGGGACAACTTTGCTTTCTAGGAAACATTTGCCAATGTCTGGACACATAATTTCTTGTCATAACTGGCGTCCAGTGGGCAGAGGCCTGGGTACTGCCAAACATACTACAATGCACAGGACAGTCCCCCATAATAAACAGTGCTGGAAGTTGAGAAACCCTGCTCTCAAAGGTTTGCTGAATAATCACTGAAATACATGGGAGTGGATTATACAAATAACACCGATTAAAGATATATATAAGCAAACAAAGAAAAATTATCTAAATTTTAGGTTTTTGTCCATTCATTTGATCATATGAGCTAAGCATCTAAATTATAATTTTTCATTTAGAACTTTTAAAAATGCAAATTATGTGATCAGAATGTATCAACATAAAGAATTTCAAAGGTAAGGGAGGGGAAAATAATATATATACATAAGTTTTAAGCATAAAGTTTCACATACCTATTATAAACGATGTATACAAATTCCATTGATTTCAATTCATTAATTTTGAATTTGTGATAATGAATTTGCAGACATCAGATCTGTCACCTACTAGTGAGTGATTCTTGGCAAACAAGAGCTTCTGCTTCTTTATCTATTGGGTTGTTGAACAGTCATGACTAATTTTTACAATGAAAAACTGAAAAAATACGTCATGACTTTTCTGACAACCCAATGTAAAGCAGGAAGAAAATAATACTTCCTAGGCTGTGTGTTATTATTAGTAGGAGCTCAATAAATGGCAGTTAAAGTTGAACTCAATTTAGGCAGCATTAGCCACTTAAGCTCAGCTTTAAGGTGCTCTTCCTTTGTGCTCCTTCTCATTACTATCTGCACACACTGTGTATATATAGCTTCATTACTCCACCTGGTAAACTGTAGGTTAGTAATCACTTTTAGTACCTACTAAACTGTAAGCTCCTTGACGAGGAATAATGCACTGTGGTCATTTCTCTTTTCTGAAAACCTAGCACCACACATGCTTTTGGGGAAATAATCATCCAATAGTCTTATCATCAATTTCCAGAATGAGTCACATCGGTCTTATTAAAATTTATTGATAAAAAGCCAACCTGAATTTACTGAATTAGAGTAATGACAGATTCAAAATCAACAATCAATATTTCATACAACAATGTAAAAACTTTAATACTATTGTTTGTTTCAATACAATTTAATGTAGGTTCACTTTAGCTAGGAAATCAACCAGAACTAGGCTGTTTGTTGAAAATCCATCAGCAGGCATGGCCCCATGCACATAAGACTCAGGATGGCGGGTACTATGGAACCACTGGCAAAGATCTTAAAAGGAGTTTTAGTAGCTGAATTTATGGGCATTTTTCGAGCATAGGGTTTAATAAGATGAACACAAGCCAAGATTTCAGGCAAACAATGAGCAAGAAATTTCTTTATCTTGGAAGTTTATTACAAATCCACTGAATATTCTGGAAGGCATGGTATCAGAGAGAAAGATTAAAAAGTATATTGGGTTGTTGGAAAAGTCATGCATTTTTGCAACGAAAAACAAAAACTATGTCATGACTTTTCCGACAACCCAATAGTTGAACAGCAGAAGTTAGGAATTTGGCCACTGATCAAGGTTTACCATATTTCATAGTACCAGGCAAGGTCAAAACTCGAAAGTTGACATGGATAGATTTTGGGATATCCATAAATATTCCTCAGTGTAAAAATCAGGGCAAAATGTAAATTCTAATTAAGACAGAGGTTTTCTTTGGACTGTGAAGAAATTCATGAAAGGTATATTTATTGTTAAAATAAAGTTTTGTTTGCTTATACTACTCAAAGTGGTACTCCAAAAAAAAAAAAATCCAGCATCAAATGAAATACTGCATAAGTCCAACATTAAAAAAAAATACAGATTTGGGCCGGCAGAGTGGCTCAGTTGGTTAAGAGCTCGCTCAAGAGTGTGAGCTCTGAGCAACAGCAGTTCGATTCCCGGCCGGAAATGAGCTGCCAACAGGCAAGATGTCTCAGCTAAAAAAAACAAAAACAAAAAAATAAAAAAAAATAAAAACAAAACAGATTTGGGCCAGCCAAGTGGTGCTTTGGTTAACAGTTGGCTTGGGACACCAGCTCTGAGCAGCAGGGCCCTGGTTTGGATCCCACATGCGGGCCAGTAACACTGCGCCCTCTACAGCTAAGGTGGTGAACAGCAGCTCGACCTGGAGCTGGGCTGCCTTGAGTCACCGTCAGTGTAAGGTGCAGTGGGGCGGCAGTGGGCTGCTGTGAGCTACGATGAGTGGCCAGCAGCCAGTGTGAACTTTTGTGAGCTGCCGTGAGCAGCCGTCCAATGGTCAGCAAGCGACCGCCTCACCCGGGAAGAGCGCAATGATAATACCAACATGGGCCAGTGAAGCGACATCCTCCACAACTAGACTGAAGAACAAAAAGGACAGCAACTTGTCTGTTCCGCTTCCCCAACTCCCCAATAAAATCTTTAAAAAATTTACAGATTTGCAAAACTTTGATGATATGTACTTCACACATACTGAGCCACCATGTAGGAGCTGCACTTTTTGGTATAGGGACAATATTACTCCACCTCCTCCACCATGCACCCTGCACCCACCCACTTCTCTCCCTCCAAGGTACTCTATTCCAAGCCACCATCATCTCTAGCCTGAACTATTACACTAGTCCCCTAACAAGTCTCTGGTTTCCACACTGTTCCCACGGTCTCGCCCTTCTTTCCACCAGGTGTGGCCTCAGACGAAAACGCTCCTCCCTCCCATCTTTCTGGCCCCTCCTCATCCTCCCAAGTTTGGCTTAAAAGCCGTGCCTCGGGGAGACTTTCCTTGACGAACCTACCTAAAATTTCCTCCCTACTCCCCAGTCACATCACCCGTTGAATTCTTCTTCGTGGACTCCTTTCTAGCTCAGAGTAGACGTTCAATAACTATTTGTTAAATGAATTTCTATCTCCAATGTCTGAAAATAACATAACTTCCACTTTCCTGACACAGAGGGCACTGCAGGTCCTCTGGCAGCCTTATAATACCCTGCTTAATGATGCACACATAATTTAATGGGGGAAAAAAACAACATTCCGCAATTTAAAAAACCCAAAACCTTGTTTATTCATCAGAACAGTTTACATTACATTTAATATACCCTCAATTCACTTAGTAGAGTTGTGTCTGATCCACGATCTTACAGTACTGTACATGCATTAGAGATCCCAAGAACTTGTAGATGCTGTTATTCGAGTGCGACCTTGGGCTAAAATTTTAAACGTCTTTTCCTTCAGTTTCCCCACCAGCGAAAAGAATTAAAAGTGCTACCTAACGCAGTCACTGGTCAAAACTAAAAAAAAAAACACCAAAAAACAACTGGAGGCGTGGACAGTTGCTAAGGCAATAGCAGCCAAACAATGATGCACTGTAGCAGGTATGTGCTAATTTTGGGGGAAATGCTCCGTCTTTGGGCCTAAGACACTTGACACAGGTCCTCTCCCAAGGAACACAACGGCCTCCAGTCCAGAAAGGGGAATGTCCTGCATTTCCCTCGCCGAGGGAAGGTCACCCACAAGCCCGCACTGGGGCCAGCGCTCCTCAGGGTCTCCTCCTACTTTCTGCTTCAGCAGACCAAAGATCATGGCTAACAGGCCTCACCGGCCGGCTCTCGGGGGTTCCTGGGGAGGCGGGATGGGAAGCGGCGCCCAGTCAAGGACAAGAGGAGAATGAGTCTCCTGGGCCAAAGTAAACAGTCTTGTCAAGAAATAAACTGCTGTGGCCAAGGCACCTCAGCCTTTTCACCCACACACAACCTCACCTTCTCCCTGGAGCCGCCGAAGCTGCTCTGCAGAACAGTCTGCACCACACCGACCCCCTTAGAAGCCGGGTCGTTTATTCAATATGGCGGCTGCGGCTCACTCCGTCACCCCGGCCTGGTGAACGGAAAGCCAGGAGGGACCAGTAACCTCAGATTCGACCATTTCCCGCCCAGATTGAGTTCGGCAATTTCCGTCAGTTCGACAGAAGGCGGGGCTGAAGGCGTAGTAGCCGGGAGGAGGCGGGGATTAGTGGGGAAGGGACGACCTGGACCCGCAGTTCCGCCGGAAGTGGCCGAGAGGCTACGGCCGATCTCCTTCGGTCATCTCCGGAGCTCTCAGGGGCGGTTCCGGTAATTTTCGGAAGCCGTGGAGGTACTAATTTAAGAAATGCGCGTTTTATTAATTTGTTTTCCAAACACGAAGAAAAGCGCACGTATAATTTGTGGACCGTTTAATTCAGAGACCCGATTTTTATATTGAGGAATGAGATGAACGTACTTTGACCTTTAACCTTCGGCCGCGTGCGACGGAGGGAAACGCCTCCGTCTCTATATAAGGAATTTCCTGGCGGGCTGCGGCCTTTTTTTTTTTTCCCTCTTCAGTGCTCAGCACCAACTGCTGGAGCTCCGTCTTCATCTTCTGCCGCCCAGCTCCAGGATCTGCCGACGTCATGGGGTTTGGAGACCTGAAAAGCCCTACCGGACTCCAGGTGCTCAACAACTACCTGGCGGACAAGAGCTACATCGAGGGGTGAGCGCACAGTTTCGGGCTGGGGCCGATCCCACGTGGCGCGGCCTCCGCCGCCGCTGGAGTTAAGGAAGCCGCGTCCCAGGGCCCTCCTGCCGGAGGGGGATGCGAAGGAAGAAGGATCAAAAATGTGCTTTCTTCCTCCTTAGTTAATTGAACCAGGTTTTTCCGCTTCTTTACTCAGTTAATGAATGTAACCCCGTAGCCCAGCGTTAGACATTGCAGTCTTTGAGGTCTACCAAGTAGCAGGCATTCCGTAGGATGTAACCGAACAGATGGTCCCTGATCTTAAAAAAAACAAACTAAAAGTTAAAACAGCCTAGACGGCCCGGTAACACATGGATGAGATCTCACTAATTGATGTTTCAGATGTAGCGTTTGTCACTTGTTGATGGTGGTTGTGGCGTCTGAAAGGCGTGTGTAATTTTTTTGCATCACTTGCAGGTATGTGCCCTCGCAAGCAGACGTGGCAGTATTTGAAGCAGTCTCCGGCCCACCACCTGCCGACTTACATCATGCCCTACGTTGGTATAATCACATCAAGTCTTACGAAAAGGAAAAGGCCAGGTAAAACTACCTTTTGTAGTTATCCGAAAGAATAGAACGCATTCTAAGCTCTTTTAAGTCGGGAATTTCGCATGACAGAAGTGGACCCAGGCTACCTTAGCTTTGTTTTGGGATATGGTGAGCTAAATTTCTTCTTGACTTTGGCAGGCCAAGAGACTGAAGTCCTCCATCTTTTCACAGAACAGATAGAACATGGACAACAGCAATTCAACTTTTGCCCACACTGCCCTGCCAATGTGCCTGTTCCTGACCTGGGGGGCCCACCTCTGGGGTGAGAGGGTGGCTCATTCATTCAGTTCTTGGCCATTCTTCTGAAACTGCCAACAAGGGTGGAAGTTTGGGGAAGTGGACTCCAGTAAGAATGGAATTGAGCATACTTCATGAGATCTCAAATATTCATTCTGAAAGAGTAAATCATAATGAGTATTGAATACAGTGTCACATGCTACTGTTTCTGGGGTGAGGAGTTAAAACATAAGAGTGCTTACCTGGGAGTGTTAAAAGGGGTCTGTTGATAAACAGTAATGAAAAGAAGCTCTCATATTGTCTAAAACAGGACACTGTAGCAACCTAATAGTTAAATAATTTTCTTTCAAGCCTGCCTGGAGTGAAGAAAGCTTTGGGCAAGTATGGTCCCGCTAATGTGGAAGACACCACAGGAAGTGGAGCTACAGATAGCAAAGACGATGACGACATTGATCTCTTTGGATCTGATGATGAGGAGGTATGGCATGAGTTGATGTTACATGTATCATCGTGCGTAAGCACCAACTTCAGTCAAATTACCTGGATTTGAGTCCTGGCTTCATTTTATTACCTTTTAAAAATGCTTACTGGTTACATGATGAATAAAATCAAATCACCATCTTTCGGCTGAGCTCGTGATGGATTTGCTTTTTTCTGATAAAGCTGGTCTTTGTTGTGATGACCCCACTACCTTTAAGCTGAGGAACAACCAGATTTGTGAAATGTTTCAAATTTTTTCTTTACAGGAAAGCGAAGAAGCGAAGAGGCTAAGAGAAGAGCGCCTTGCACAGTATGAGTCAAAGAAAGCCAAAAGTAAGTCATTCTTTGATTCGTGTTTGTTTTCATTTATTTCCTAATAATGTAAGGAATCTTTCAAAGAAGAATCCCCCAAAGTGATTTCCTTCACCTTCGCTGACTATGTCAGGATTTCAAAACCTTCTATAGAAGTTCTTAAAACTTCCACAGCTACTGGTCTGCAGCTGTTCTCCATGGTGGCAGTTGTGGCATTCCTCTGTGGGAAAGAAACTGTTACACAATTAAATACCTCTTTCTTGGCAAAACAGAAAGTGGGCACATGTGTGACAAACAAGATGTATCGTACAGTTTTGTATGGCTAAGGTGGTAATCCATTTTGAAACAAATTAATATTGAGTGTTTGAATAATGCTGTTGCTTGTACTTTTTATTTAGAACCTGCACTTGTTGCCAAGTCTTCCATCTTATTAGATGTGAAACCGTGGGACGACGAGACAGATATGGCAAAATTAGAGGAGTGTGTTAGGAGCATTCAAGCAGATGGCTTGGTCTGGGGCTCTTGTGAGTAGTCTTTGCTTTTTGAAATTGGCCTCTGGAATTTGCATAATTTCAGCCTTTGCCAAGCAATAGGATTTTTCTAACTAAGATTTTTCTTAATGTTCTTTTCAGCTAAACTCGTTCCAGTGGGGTATGGAATTAAGAAACTTCAAATACAGTGCGTAGTAGAAGACGATAAAGTTGGAACAGACATGCTGGAGGAGCGGATCACTGCTTTTGAGGACTATGTGCAGTCCATGGACGTGGCTGCTTTCAACAAGATCTAAAATCCATTGCAGATCATGACCTTTAAATAAAAGCTTGAAAGACAACCCTTGGCTCTTCAGTCTTGAATAGGAGGGTGGTACAGCTGACCCTTGAACAACATGGGGGCTAGGGGTCCAACCCCCCATGCAGTTGGAAATCCACACTTATTGATTCCCCAAAAACTTAAGTCCCTAAGTCTCCACAGGAGATTGTTCCCAGGACTCCATGGATGCTCAAGTCTCTTATATAAATAATGGCATGAAACAATGCATGCATTCGGCCCCCTACATCCACAGATGCAAAACCTGGGGATACAGAGGGTCAGTTATACATTTTTTAAAAGTTGCATATAAGCGGACCCACAGTTCAAACCCATGTTTTTCAAGTGTCAACTGGATATTGCTTCAATTTTGAGAAATTCACTGAATATGTAATTCATAATATAAATTTGGGTCAGAATTGTTAGATATTCAACCAAACAAGGGGAAACTACCTATTACAAAAACATAGATGTCAAGTAGATTTTATAAACGAATAGAAATGGACTTAAACTTGGTACAATTCCTGTACCCATGCCTCAGCAATGCATAGTGATACCTCTTTTATCACAATAGGTCAAATTTTCATATTTGCCCTGTTTAAATCAGCTAAACTTGGGGAGATTTTAGAGGAAGAAATGAGCCCTACAGGTTTATAATGGTTCAGACCTTGAGCTTTTGCTAATAAGTAACAAAGTGAGCTGATTTTCTTCAATGGGAATGTTGGGAGTACCTTAAAGAATCATTAGAAATGAGTCGACAAAAAAAGTGCTTAGGATGTTGCCAGGCACATAGTGGATAATGTCAACTACAGTATTTACTGGATAAACATTTGGAGATAAAAGGAATTAAAGGCTGCAAATTTTATTTTTATTTTTTATTGGGGAATTGCAGGAAGGGGAACAGACAAGTTGCTGTTGCTTTTTTCTTCAGTCTAGTTGTGGAGGACGTTGCCTCCCTGGCCCAAGTTGGCACCATCATTACCCTCTTCCCGGGTGAGGCAGATCAGTCGCCGGCTTCTAGACGGCAGCTCACGCTGGCTGCTGGCTACATACGGTAGCCCATGGCAACCCACTGCCACAGGGGCTGCAGTCTACGCCGTTGCTGGCGACTTACAGCAGCCCAGCTCCAGGTTGAGCTGTTGTTCAGCATCCCAGCTGTGGAGGGCAGCGTCACTGGCCCTCATATGTGGGATCTGAACCAGGGCCCTCTGGCGTCCCAAGCCAACTCTCAACTATCGCATCACTCGACCGGCCCAAGGCTGCAAATTTTAAAAGAAGGCCTTATTAGGGCCAGCTGAGTGGCTCAGTTGGTTAAGAGCTCGTTCAAGAGTGCGAGCTCTGAGCAACTAGTGGTCCAATTCCTGGCTGGAGCTGAACTGCCAACAGGTGGCAGGATGGCTCAGCTAAAAAAAAATTAAGAATGCCTTATTGTATATACACTGTTACAGGAGAGCATTAGGAAAGTGTTTTGAGTAGCGTTGTCCCGAAAGGGCTATTACATAGGTAACTGACTCCCAGGCAGTGTGGTTCACAAGCCTGGCTTGGGTGTAGAGGTGGGTGGGCCTAAGTGAGACACTGTACTCGTGGAAATCTGATTGAACCTATTGCGGTAGGACTTCAATACAGAGGTAGTGCTACAGGCAAATGGACTCAGATGAAGGCAGTATGTTAAGTGATAGTCAACTCCTGTTAACAGTTACATATTATTTGGGATATATATGTAATATTTTATTTTTTTTAACAGTTTTTATAAAAGCTTGGAAATTGCTGACCTCTGAAGGTCTTACTTTGTAGTCTGTGTAGACCAAAGAGGTTAAATGATTTAAGGTCAAAATTTTCCTAGCAGAACCAGACTGCTGGGGTTTTTTTCCCCTCTCAATCTCATTTTCTTTATATGTGACTACCTTGAGTGTGGGAAATTGTTTAATTTCTAAAGAAAATATAATCAGATATATATGTATTGATGAATAAAATCACTCCAAGCAATTCAGTCCAACATGTCATCATAAAAGCCAGCAGAGGGCAGCACCTCATTTTCTGGAGAACCAAAGAGCCTGTGGATTCTGGAAATACTGCTATGGTAAAAGAAGTAACTAGTGAACAGTAGCCCAAAATAATTCACAATCATTAGACGTCTTAAAGGGATTGCCTACTAAATTACTTGGCCAAAATGTTAAGTATTAGCAAATTAATGACTGACTAATGATTAAAAGTTTAAAGAGTTAAAAAATCGGAATGGTCAGTTCAAACCACAGCTGTCTTGTAAATCTTAAAAAGATAAATGATGAAACGTGACAAATCTTGATTCCACGGCCTTGAAGAAAAAATATATTTAATGGTCTTTTAATTTTATATTTTAAAAAATAGATAATACATTAACATAGTTCAAAATTCAAGAGGTTATACAGTGAAATCTTCCCCTGTCCCCCAGGCCTCCCATTCACCTCCATAAAAGCAACCAATATCCCCAGGTTCCTAGGTCTTTTACGAGCTCGTCTAAGCATGCGCACAGACTAACTGCAGCACACAACACAAACTGGGCACCTTGCATTTTGTTCATATAAAGAGACTTGGCTATCTTGAGGATGATCTATATCTTGGATGTTCCATAGCAGTACATTTTTTTAAAGCATTGTTTTTTAGCAGTTACATAATCCATTGTCTCATGTTATTTAACCAGGCTATTTATTGGATCTTTAGGTTGCTTTCAATTTTTTGCTATTATGAGCAGCGCTCACATTTGCGTGTGAGCCAGCATACTGAATGAACTGTTTTTGAGCCAGCAGACTCAGAAGGCAAAAGTAGGTATACATAGAGAGATTTTTTTTTCCTGTTTCTGGCTTTGGAGTGGAAAACAAAAAACTAAGAGGCCACCTCTTTTTGCAGACCCCCTAAGTAATTACAATAACTGAAAGCTTGTTTGTTCTTCAGATTCAGCACCCCCAGAAAAGGGCAAAGCCGCAGTGTGGGAAGTCAAAATGATTCATTTTGTATCACTATGTTAGATGCTATAAAAATACAGAGTTAAGAAAATTACTATAGGGAGGCGGTTCAAGCACACAAAATTGTGAAGAATGAGTCATTTTGTGATTAAGCAAGTAATCCAAATGTTCAGAAGGTCGGGAAGGCTAGAATTGAAGAAAAGTTTTTGAAAGAAATCGGGGCTTAAGAGAAACCTTGATCAGTTTGTTAAAACAAAACAAACAAACAAAAAAAACGTTCCAGAGAGAGAGAATGTTCCAGGAGGGTGTTACAGGCAGAATGATAAAGTCAAGAATGAGAATACACATTTGGGAGGAATTTCAACCAGTTTGGCTGGATTCTGCAGTGTCTGTGATTAGGTAGGGTGGAGTCAGGTTGTAGAGGCATCTGAATTTATAGGCTGGCTCATTCTGTGAGGGCAGGGTGGAGCCTTCAAGGTTTCCAAGCCGGAGAATGACAAGATAAAGGCAGAGCTCTGATCTGGAGATGTGTGGTTGGATGCAGGTAAATAAAAGGATTTATAATCCCAACATAAATGGGAATGACTAAATTATGGCATATATACTCAATGAAATATTTTATAAGCTTAATATATTACTTTTAAAAAATGGAGACTGTAGCAACGTTGAACAATGCTTGATTTTTCATTGACTATTACTATCAAAAGATAAGCTTATAGACAAAGACAAAAATACAAAAAGAGTTGTAGTAGTGTTTTGGAATATATGTATAGTTTTTTTTTCCCAAACAAATATAATTTAGGCAATGGCAATTATTGTCCTTAGGATAAAAAAGTAAATTAAAAAAACACAGGCCTCATATACATTGTCTAATTTAAACTCCATTATAAGCCTAGGAAATAAGGCCGACACTGTTATCACCATTTATAGATGAGACAATCCTGAAAGATGACTTGCCCGATTATTCACCTAGTGAGAAAGGAGGAACTCAAACCCAGGTCTTCGTGGGCCAGATAACATGTTGATAATAGAATGGAGAAAGTTCTTCATCCCTGAATTTAGGCAGTTCTATTTCATCAGTGTAACCTTTGCTTCATACCTTAAGTTAGGGAGAGTGAGCAGATAATATCACATAAGGGTAAACTTAAAATGGAAATTTGAGACTGATAAACAGACATTCTCTCATTACATACTCTGTATGATGATAATAGTTGTTCAGGAAATGTGACAAATGAGAGTCTCATTTGGAATGTCAAGGGCCTGAATAGTATTCAGGGAAGTAAAAATCAAAAGAAAGTATCCACAGGCTTCTAAATATTCAACCCCTGAAGAACTACTGCCTGTATGGAAGAACTATGGATTACTCTTCAAGCCTGGCACAACTTTCAATCTTCTATCCTCACTTTGTCCCTATAAAATGGGACTATTCTCTTTTCTGAACACAGCCCATGTTTATCAACCTCCGTACGTTTGCTCTTGCTACACCATCTACCTAATGTAGCCTCTTTCCTCACCTGCACTTTGTTAAAATTGTAGTCCTTCTTCAAGATGCCCTTCAAATACTTCTTTCAAGAAGTCTTATTCTATTCCTTTCTGCCCCTTGCAGCCTCCCAGCACATAATGTTCTTTCATAGCACTTATAAACCACCTTGCTTTAAGTTCTCTGTGTAGTTCCCTTATTCTTCCTGAGATTTTTATGTTCATTCGAGAAGGAAGGACTCTAACATTTACCAAGCAGTTACTATGTCAGAAAGTGCCAGGAGTTTCATTAAGTATCATACCAGCATAGGGCTAAGCACTGCTTTAAGTGCTTTAGGTAAAGTCCTATAAATACCTGCATCAACTTGTTTAATTTTCACAATAGCCCCATGTGGCAGGTACTACTGTTATGCCCATTTTGCAGATGGGGAAAACTGAGGTCTTGAAATTTGAATTAATTTAGCCAAGGTCACAGAGCTATGACCGTAATTCAAATCTAGGTATCCTGCCTCCAGGGGCCCTGGCGCCTGCCCTCTTCTCCTAAACGCTTCCTTTCATTGAGAAAGAGGCAGATCTGTTCTTTATTCTCCGGCCAACTAGGCACTGAGCCCTCTCGCTTCCTTCCCAAATTGCTGCAGTGCCTGTCCTGCCTCCAGCCCCTCTCTTTTTAGTCATTCATCCTGTTCTTGGTCATTAGACCCCCTGGAGAGCCTCACTACCCAGATTCCAACTGCCAGTGGAGGAGGCTTGGAGTCCCCAATGTGTATCCTGTGTTACTCCTTGGATCCTCCCTCAAACTGAGCGTAAAAATTTAACTCGTTTCTGCTGGCAAGTGCCTTTATTGGTTGCTACTTTCTACTAGTGAATTTCTGTCACATCCCCAATATCAGCTATTTTCAAAGCCACTAAAACGAGCTCCAAGCATGGGTCTAAGGACTTCCTGATATTTTATTTAAAAGCATTTTTTTTCTGTAGAAAAGACCCATAACTTTCCTTAGATTCTCAAGTGAATTCAAAAACTCCTCTAAGACCTTTGTAGACATTCCTCAAAGCATTTTTCTTTTTGGAAGCTCCACTCCTCATATCCAACAAAGTAACATGGAAATCCCATATTAAATGTTTCTATATAACTATTAAATACTTCATTTGACTAATTGACATAAAAGTATATCTTTTATAGACATGTAATTAAGTACTTATTCATTTTGACTTTACAAGTTTCCTTTTTGTATTCTAGAGCCAATAATATTTTTAAGATCTCGAATATTTTTATGGACCCTTGGAAAGCTCACAGCCCCTAGATACTGTGCCCGCTGAGCCTAATGGGATAAAGGCTCCACATGGATTTCTAAACGCACAAAGGGTAGGAAGCACCACCCTGAAATGTAACTTCCAGAATACCACCTGCTCCTTTCATTTCCTGCTGCCTTGGCTGTTTTAATCTCCTTCCTGCTTCTCAGCTTTCGTTTTGCTCCCACAGCCTTGAGAGACTCCATTTGCTCAAACTAAAGATGAGCCTATGAAGTTCTCTTCTTTCTTGGATCCTCCAGCTTTTCTCCTCATTCTGGAAACCCAGGGCCTTTGCTCGAAAGCCAAGGGAAACTCAGAGTAAAATATCTGAAAACCTGGTGACAGAGGGGGCAAGGTTAAAGGCTGCACTAAGGGCCAGACACTCACAACGAGCCTTTCTCTCCCTGCTTCCCTTAACCCATATTGGAAATGGCAGAACTCTGCTTAGCTATGCCATCCATTGTTTTGGAATAATTTCCAAAACCAGATTTGTCAGAGGGGGTTAACAATAAAGGACATAGCCAGTAAAGATCTGGTATTAGCATTTCTGAAAACTAAGAGGTGACATAAAAAAAAGGATACCAATTAAAGAAATAACAGCTCCCCTCACAACTTTCAAAATAAAATTGAGAAATTATGAAAAAATTAAACGTTTTTAAAATTGCAGTGAGTAGCAGAGTTTGTATTCACAAAAGATGGAGAGGTCAGCAGAGACAAGGGGTAGGGACAGGATCTTTAGGGAACCCCCAAAGTCAAGGACATAGATTTCCAGTGTTCCTATTCCTCGACAGTGGATGATGCCATCTCGTTCTTCTCTGAACAATCGATGCTTCTCTTCGCTTTTGGGGCACTTATTACTGTCTGCCTTATTTTAGGATAGTTTTCATGCAAGTTTAGCCTCACTTTCTAAACTGTAAGTACCTTATGCATCTTGGCATCCCTCACAATATCTATGTACCATGATTCTGAATACCTCTTAGATACTCATGTATTTGTTAAAGGGATAAATGAATTGAGGTCAAAATATTATCACAGTCTAAAATGCAACAGATTTGCCTTGACTTAAAGGTATGCTTTATTTGGTCTTATACTGCTGTCTATATATAGCTATAGGAATAAAAGCTAGAAATATATTAATATGTCATACATGCTTTCTTTTCCTGAAATCATTCTGAGATTGGGCTGGCCGACCTGAATGTCAGTGTTTATAGCAATCTTATACATACTTGCACATACCCAGAATTTTCCAAAAACTTTTATATTTGACTTGATATCATAAAGGAATAAAGATGAGAGCATGTCCCCATTGAGAGGGAGGGTCTATGTCCCCTCCTCTTGAATCTGAACTGGCCTGTGACTGCTTTGACCAATAGAGTACAGTAGAAGTGATACTGTGTCAGTGTTGGGCATAGCTTTTAAGAGGACTAGAAATGTCCACCTTGGTCCTTTGAAGCCCTAAATTGCCCTATAAGAAGTCTAGCTACCCTGAGGTGACCTGGTGCAACAGATATGTGAAGAAAGAAGAGAAAAACATATAACTATTGCACTGTGTTGTACACCTGAAACTAATTTTAAAAAATTTTTTTTCTAAAAAAAAAAAAGATATATAATTGTGTATGTTTCTCCTGTATCCTGTGATCTTGCTGAACTGATTTATTAATTCTAGTAGTTTCTTTTTTTGTTTCTATTTAGTGGATTCATTTGGATTTCCCCTATGCAAGATTAAAGACAATTTTACTTCTTCCTTTCCAACACAAAAAAAAAAGAGAAGAGGAGAAAAGGAAGAAGAGGGGAGTGGGGGGAAGGGAAGAGAGGAGGGAAAGGATGCGAGCTGCTCAGCTGGCCATCAGCTGTTGGAAACTGCAGCCATTTAGGTCATCCCAGTCCACTGAGGCTCCAGATATGAAGCAGAGAGAGGGACCTCCCTTCTGTGCCCTGTTTGAATTCCTGACTCTCTGAGTTATGAGATATAATAGTAATACATTGTTTTAAGCAACTAGATTTGGGGGCAGTTTACTAAGTATTAATAATCAACTGGAACAACGTTTTAAACTACTATAAGCCACTATTAGCTTTATTCATAAATGTATATACAAAGATTATATGAAATAAAGAAATTAAGTAAACATGTTGCATTTTAGAACTTGTCTAATGGGTTACTTGTGCAAAATTAAAGTGAGCTGAAGCAAACTTATTTTACCATTTTTGAAATGAATTAATAATATATTTAATATTAAGATTTAGGACTTTAAAATTATTAAAATTCAAAAAATATAACTGATATTGCCTCAAGAGCGGTGACTAATCCACTATGGTACAATTAGCAAGAATGACACAATTTAAGTGGCAGGGAGAAACAAAATGAAGATCGTTCCTAAATTTTACATCCACACAAAAATGTGATGCCAAAAAACAACTAAAAAGATATGGTCAGCTCTGTATCTTGGAATCAAATAATCTGAAAGCATCTGTCAGGGGACCCACACGAACGCCTTATACTGATTTGTGGAAGAGTAGTAATTCACTGGGCTGTTTCCAGGAGACATGGGTTCTTGGTTTCGGAGTTCCTGAGCTGTTCATTCACCGTGCCAGAACAGCTGACTTCCCACAACGTGTACTTTAGTATCTCAGCAACTGAGGCCTGAAAGCGTGCCTGGAACTTCTTACTAATTAGGACATAAAGGATGGGGTTCAAGCAACTGTTGAGGAATGCTAAAGCAGTAGAGAGGGGGATTCCGGCCTGCAACACCTTGTGGTAATAGCTACTGTGGTGGATGGTGAACTCCCAAATGCTAAACAGGTGATAAGGAGTCCAGCAAATCAAAAAGGCCATGACCACAGCCAGGATGGTCCAGGAATACTTACTGGAGATCAGGATGCTTCGCTTCTTCACCTTGAAGATGAGACACAAGTAGCAAATGCTCATTGTTAGTAAAGGGAAGAGGTACCCCAAAATAAATTTCACCCAGATCAGAACATGGTGCCTCATCAACGAGAGGTCAGGATCATGCTCGTGGAAATTGTTATAGCAAACAGTGTGGTTATTGAACTCCAGAGTGTCCCGGAAGTATAGGGCAGGACCACCCAGTAGAGAAGCCAAGAGCCAAACGAGTATAATAACAATCCAGGATTTCCTTAGGGTTCGCTGCCGATGAGCTATGACAGGGTAGATCAATTGGATACAGCGGTCCAGGCTGATCACTGTCAGGAAAGAAACACTAGCAAACATGTTCAGCTGGGCAATGAAGGAATTGGCCTTGCACAACCAGATGCCAAAGGGCCAGTGGAAATTCATGGCCACATAGGAGATATGCAGGGGCAGGAAGAGAAGAAAAATGAAATCCGCCACAGCCAGATTTAGGAACCAGAGAGTGGTAACTGTCTTCTTCCACTTGAAACCCGTGAACCAAATGACAGTGGCATTTCCTGGAATACCCAGAACAAATGCCAAACAGTATAACACCAGGGAGACCCAGTGAACAGCTCCCACGGGGGCACTCTCCTCCAAATCAGACTCTGGGGAGTAATATTCCACGGAATAGGAGTAGTTCTCAAAGTCTTCAAACAATGTTTCCTCTAGGTCTTCCATGGCCTTGAGAAGTGGAGAATGATGAAATCTACAGAAGAAATCTAAAAAGAAAACAATGTTTAAAAGAACAAGAAATGTTCAGTGAATAAGGATAAAAATATTGCATCTTATGAACTAGAAGAAGTATATTTCTTAGTAGTACATGTGATTACTCTCTAGATGTCTGAGTCTAGGTGGTTCTCATTTTGCACTGATTGTTCTCAAAGCAGTGAGAGTTCATTTTTGTCAAGTATTCAGTAAGTGCTAAATTAACATGATTGACTCTCCTGGTGCAATTTCTCTGTTTATAATGCTTGCAGGGCGGACCAGAGAGAATCTAACATTCAAAAGGCATTTATTAGGTTCTTCCTATGCGTTATTTTATGGAAGATGCAAAACAAAACAAAACATTAATTCTTATGTGGTGATGACTTCAAAATCCCCGTTTGTACCCTCGCTTCTTAAGCTCCAGACGTAGATTTCCAACTGCTTTCTCAACCCATCCACCTGGGTGACACAAGCAAGCACTGGAGATTTTTACCCACTATATTGCACCCGTGGGTGTTTTGATTCTATGTTTACGAATGCAACTATGTTCACCAGTATTATATCAATATGGATGACTTTTCAACCAGAGGTATCTTTGAAGTAAACTTGACTATGGCCATTTAATTTCTCCATTAATTGCATCTAGAGTGCAGTTAAGCTTTAAATTTTTATTTTACTGAAATTCCTTTGTTTTGAACTGATTTGAACTAATTATTTTCTACATTTACAACAAAGAGTTGACTTACTAATCAGTTTTATTTTGTTTATTTTTGTCCATACCAAATTTTATCTGTTATAATTTCACCCAAAGTAAGTTTTCTTTTGTGGCCTCACCCCTTCTTTTCTCCTATCAAGGCCAGTTTTCCTGGGTTAAGACTTAAATGTCAATATTTCAATCAAAATAGTTTACTGGGTGCAATTTTAGCTTTATCAATTTTACTTTGTATTTCTTTTTGTTAGTATTCAAAATCAAGTAGAAAAAAGATCAATAGTTGCATTCATTTCATGGAGCTACAATCATTAATGGGGCAAATATGTAAGATTTGGGATGATAGTAGGGTTAGAATAAAGAGGTGAAAACATCTTGTGTTGTTCATAGGCACCTCACACTCAAATGACTAACACTGAATTCATCATCCTATCTAAAACTGCTTGAGGAATCTGGCAAAGCATAATTAAAAAACAAATGCAATTCGTTAGCATCCTCCCAACCCCAGACCCAGCCATCTTCTCTTTATTTTTCAATATTCAGCTCCAATGCCACCTTTTCTTGGCAACGCTTTCTGACATTAGCTAAATCCAGATTATTATAACTTTTATTATAAATAATAGTCAGTGTTATTGGGAATTTACTTGATATCAGGCATGTATGATCTAATTTGATCCTGGAAAAAATCTTATAAAGTAAGTAAGTACTATTACTATTTGCATTTACATGAAAGAATACTAAAGCTTGGAGGAGCTCAGTGACTTGTCCAGGATCACACAATCTATAATTAGAGAGTCGGGATCTAAACTTAGATCTGTTGGACCCAAAGCCTGAGTTCTTACCCAATTCAACATTTGCCTCTTCTATCATACTATTATATTATTGCATTTCATATGCTATATAGGCATGGATTTATCTTTAATTTCTGCCCTACCAAACCATGAACCCATTGAGTACAATGACCATCATTTCTATACCTTACAGTGCCAAGTACAAGTCTTAACATATCATAGGTGCTTAGCATGTGCTTGATAAATGATTAGCTCTGCCACGAATCCTGTTCAGGACTGAATGTACTTTGAATGTACTCAGGTGAGAGTTTGTGAGTTCACCCCTAAGTCAATGTTGCTGCCAGACTCTCTCTGACCTTGACCCACAGCTCTATCCCCAGGATCTTGGCTTGTTCCTTGACACCAAATCCTTTCCTTCATGTGTCATGTGAGTGAACTAGAATTGGCTTCTTTCGTGCTTCCCTATTCTTTCTTTTTTTTTTTTTAAGATTGTATTGGGGAATTGGGGGAGGGGAACAATGCTGGGGAATCAGGGGAAGGGGAACAGACAAGTTGCTGTCCTTTTGTTCTTCAGTCTAGTTGTGGAGGATGTTGCTTCACTGACCCAAGTTGGCAACATCATTGCGCTCTTCCTGGGCAAGGCACATCAGTCACTGGCCTCTGGACGGCCGCTCACTGTGGCTGCTGGCTGCTCACGCTGGCTGCTGGCTACACACGGTAGCCCATGGCAACCCACTGCCACAGGGACTGCAGCCTACACTGTCGCCGGTGACTCACAGCAGCCCAGCCCCGGGTCAAGCTGCCATTCACCATCTTAGCTGCAGAGGGCAGTGTCACTGGCCCTCATTTGTGGGATCCGAACCGGGGCCCTCTGGCGTCCCAAGCCAGCTCTTAACCAACGCGCCACTCGGCTGGCCCTCAATATTCTTTCTTACTCTGCTCTCTCTGCTCCTTCTAATGGCTGACCCTCTGTAGTGTCAAACCCTTTCCAGCCTAGTCTCCAACTCCTTGTCTTGGTTTTCTGACTGTATACTAGGACACCCTTACCTTCCTGGTGCCTATGAACTGTTCTTTTAGGCTATTAGCAATTCTGCTGCCACATGGCCCAGGTGGTAGTCTAAATCACCTTACCAAACTCTAGGCATTAGTAGAAGGAACCTATTCCCCAAGCACAGAAAACCCATGGAAGACCCATAATGGCACACAACCGCTATCTTCACCAAAAGTCAGGAGCCCCCCACTTCCAATGTCATTACTGACCCTGCTGAGCCAGAATGACCACAGGGCCTGCTAAAGGACACCAATCACCCCCATTTCCCAATTCCCTTGGGGCGAGGAGAGGTACCTTAAGGATGAGTGATCTATCTGAACAGAATCTCTTCAAACAGAAAACTGAGCCAGAGAGAGTCCTAATCTTCCCGAAAGCAGATGAGTTGATAAGATGCAAAGACCAGTTCACACTTGGAGAATGGGCTTCCAGAGGAGCTGAATGCTGCCCAGCTGAATCCTTCATGGGAAAAGAGAATCTAGGAATTCCCCTGTGGCTGAGAGCAGATGTTTATGTGTGGTGGTGATGGTGAGGGGTAAGGGTGGGATGGAGAAGGGAAAGAAGTAAGGCAGAACTCAGCAGCTGTCCTCCCCAGTCCCTGGGGCAGACAGTGCGTTTGAGGGCACTCCTATTTAATAATTATACCTTGTCTGTGTAATGCTTTACAGTTTACAGGCACTTCCAGATCTCATGAAGTTTCCTAACCTCACTTAGACCTACCCACATATCTAGAGACTAACTATTAGTTTCCTAGGGCTGTTGTAACAAAGCACCCTAAACTGGGTGGCTTAACATAACAGAAAATTCTTGTCTCAAACACTGGAGAAATCTGAAATCAAGGACTAGGCATGGCTGTTTCCTTCTAAAGGCTGTGAGGAAGAATCTGTTCCACACCTCTTGTCTAGATTCTGGCAGTTTGTTGGCAAACTTTGGCACTCTTTGGCAAGATCTGTCTTCATCTTCACATGGTGTTTTCCCTGTGTTCGTATCTGTGCCCAAATTCCCCCTATTTTTAGGGGCACCAGTCATATTGGATTAGAACCCGTCTTTTTTTTTTTTAAGATTTTATTGGGGAATTGGGGGAGGGAAACAGCATTGGGGAATCAGAGAACGGGAACAGACAAGTTGCTGTCCTGTTGTTCTTCAGTCTAGTTGTGGAGGATGTCGCTTCACTGGCCCATGTTGGTGTTACCATTGCGCTCTTCCCAGGTGAGGCAGTCGCTCGCCGGCCATTGGACAGCCGCTCAAAGCGGCTCATGGCAGCTCACGCCTGCTGCCAGCTGCTCACACTGGCTGCCAGCCTCTCATGGTAGCTCACGGCAGCGCACTGCAGCAGAGGCTGCAGCCTACCCTGACGCCAGCAAATAAATCACGGCAGCCCAGCTCCAGATTGAGCTGTTGTTCACCATCTTAGCTGTAGAGGGCGCAGCATCACTGGTCCTCATGTGGGATCCAAACCGGGGCCCCGCTGCTCAGAGCTGGCATTCCAAGCCAACTCTTAACCACCGTGCCACTCGGCCTGCCTGGATTAGGACCTGACTTAATGACTTTATTTTAACTTGATGACATCTGCAAAGATCTTATTTCCAAATAAGTTCACATTGTGAGATACTGGGGTTTAAGACTTCAGCATACACTTTTGGGGGCCACAATTCAATCTATAACATTAGGCCAGAGCTGGCAACCACCATTCCTGAATCCTGGTCATTCATTCATTCAGCAAATATTATTAAGTGTCCACATTTTTCAGGCACTATTCTAACTGATTGGGACTCTTCACTAAATAAGACAACTATGTTTCCCTCTTAGAGTTTTAGAATCTAGTAGGAGATACATAGTAAAAAATATACATTAAAAAGAAAAATTACATAGCATGTTAAAATGTGGTAAGTGCTGCTGAAAATTGGGGAAAAGAGAACAGGATAAAGGAAATGCAAGGGGTGGTTTTAACTTTTAATCAGGTGGTCAGAGAAGGACTCACTGAGGAGATGACAACTGCAAAGGCTTGAAGGAGGTCAGGCAGTTAGTCATGTGGATGTTTTAGGCAAGCGTTCAAGACAGAGGAAACAGCCAGTGCATTCAAGAAATACCCTTTTTAACAATGGAGACTGGAGATTGGAGAGTGTTTGTAGCTGACTACAGTGCACTGGTAAGGCTCCTGCTTTAAAAGAAAATGAGGGGCAGATGTGTTTTAGCAGATGTAGACGTTCCCTGCCCTTTATTTCATAATTTAAATGTCCCCAGGGGCAGGTGCCTTTCATGGGTGCGGTAGAAGCAGATCCTGAGTGGTGATGATATCAGACCTATACGGTTTTAGCAGAGCTAGATGTCCTCTTCTCTTTGTTTCGTAATTTAAATGTCCCCAGGGGCAGGTGGCTTTAATGGATGCAGTAGGAGCAGATCCTGAGTTGTGATATCAGAGCTATACCCTTTTAGCAGAGTTAGGCATCCTCTGCCCTTT